TGGACTGGACCGCAGAAAACAGCCGTCAGTGTGGCCGTTGACGTGTTCGCTGAGCCGGGCGATTTGATTGCAATCGAAGTGACGTAATCAGCGCGTTATTAGAGAGCCTAGTGTAAGCTGGTGGTTGTGACGACCACCGTGTTTAGCATCTTATTTGTGCATCGTGCTTGATGCAGTATCGGACCCTGCATCCGCCGTGGAGAGCACTTCCCATGTTCCCGAATCAGCACATGGCCTCTGTGACGGTCACGGCGTCCCTTCTTTCGGTCTCCCCTTTCTTGACTTTTCGAATGTCACTGGAACGATGCACATGAACCTGAGGCTGTAAACTGACGGGCTTGGACGGTGGGTAAAACGTAGAAGGATGCTGATAGGATTCACCAAAATGGACTGCATTGAGAGTGCTACCGGTGCCGGATTCCAGGTGCAGCCGTTGCATCTCGTACGCCCCCTCTGGTCTCCGGTTTGGCTGCAACTGTAGCGACGACAAAATTTCGTTGCATCGCTTACGCCCCCTCTGGTCTCCGGTTTGGCTGCAACTGTGGTGGCGACAAAATTGTCAAGCTGTGGTGTTCTCATGAACGTGTTGGAGCCATCTGCAGCTTTTTCGTTAAAACAGTATCGAGGAGTCGATCCAAGAGTTGAAGCTGAGTAATCCAATTCAGGTCCAAGAGAACATGGTCTTCATAGTTCGTGAGGTTGCAAGTGCCATTGAGTTAAGCCCCTTTGTACGTAACGCAAGAGGAGAGATTCCCGGTCAGTCTGAGACTTTCATCAAGTGCATTACGAACGCTGCACTTTCTATATTCTGCTGTTGGAGGGCAATCGGTGTGCCGTTGACACACACTGTAACGAAGTTCCGTCGACCAGGTCGTTTCATCCTAAATGTAGCGATCATGGCCACTGCCTGCGTTCTTTTGTCGGGTCGATGTTTGCGCCAGCTCCTGAGGTTGTCTCTGAAGTATTCCTCTTTGTGACCCTTTTGACTGCACTTGCTTCACCCGTGGTTCCGTTGGGGACAGTGGCGTGAATAATGCCATTCTTCAGAAAACCAACATGGTTTAGAATTTGATTGCCTTTTGGAAGTTACTTTGCATACCATATCGAGCTGAGGGAATTCGGAATGTCAAAGAAGCACAGCATCGACCTTCAGCTTGATAAGCTGTTGGCATTCGGTGGTGCTGTCTGAAGGGGTCACCTCTGGATCCTGTTCAATTCGATTCAGTAGCCGGGTCCGAATATCTGCATCGTGTGGCGATTGAAGGCCAGCCACGAAGATGAGACAATTGAATTGATCTTCGGTCATGGAGCTGAGCTGAAAGCACTCGCATTCTCTGTTGACGACACCGGCATAGGTGATGAAATGCTCAGTGTCCCTTTTGATAATCTTGAGACACGGATGACGAATATTGAACAATGAACTTTGCTCACCGAATATTTTGGCAAGGATTTTGGCAGTATCTGCGAAGCCAAGGAGGTTTAGGAGTATGAAATTTGTAAACTGATCATGTTCAGATATCCCCAGTTGGCGCAGCAACGCTTGGACTTTCCATGCATTACCAAACTGAGCGAATTCGGTTTGAAGCATGTCCTCATATTTCTCGAACAAACTTCCGAAGTTGAATTCAGTAACCGATCTGGCAGCAGCATCCAGATAAAGAATAAGGAGGCCCAACTGCTTTTGTCACATTCCACGACAAACTGCGCATCAGAGATGCAAAAAGCCTCATTTGAGGTTTTTAGGACTGCTTCTGTCGCTACCGTGAAATTGCCTGGATGCTCTCTGCTGAAATTGACATTGTGATATTGGGTTGTCACCAGCTGTTGTGACTTGCTGAATGGCCATGCAATCCTGTATCGGTCCTTGGCTTCCCGCTCCGCTCACTATGGCATATCGAGAGGCACGGTAGCTTCAGACAGCTCTTAATGGAAACGAACGAAGGTTTTTACAACTGTATTTATAGGATAATCATAAAATGCTTCCCAAGGCCGTGCTAGAGTTTCCCTGAGGGGATGAGGAGCGCCGAGCTAAAGACGCTCAGCTCATATCGGATGTCATATTTTTCGACTTCTCAAAAGCATGTGATAGGATCCCTCACGGCCCGCTGCTCCACAACCTCGAGTCTTACGGGATTCAAGGGAAAACCCGTGGCTGGATCAAGGCGTTCCTGTCAGGCAGATCATTCCGAGTGACAATAGG